ACCACGCCCACAAACTAGCCATGGACTTATGAACTTACGCATTCACACATGTCTCAGAATCTTACACCCATGCAAAGCTCTCTCTTAAAATCTTCACGCAACACTTCCACCCACCCTTACACAATAAACCTTTTGCCACTGTTTGTCCCACCCCGAACGGTTCTACTGACGTAGGTTCATGCTGTAGTTCGCCGCTATCCTCTTTGACATCTGTCTCGGGTCCGACCGTTCGACTTGGGTGTAGTAATTTCGACAATTCCGCTCTCACGCCATTCACAATGCGACCTCCACATTTTATTTTATTTTATCATGCTACTGAAGTGATTCAAGCTTCAGACAACACCGTTTACTGGCTTTACGAATTTAAGGACTATTCTTTATTCGCCACACTTAAATGTTCACCCTGAGACCCATAAAAATAAATGTCTCTGCATATCCACATCAACTGTCACTAATCAGTACCGGCACATTTCTGTGATAGAACTGATGTGACCAATCAACACCAAACGTCATCTCGCTGCAATGTGCAATCGATTTGCGTGACCAAGTAGATCAAGAGCACTTTTATGACTTTCGGCATATAAACATCGAATGGATGTACTTACATCCACTTCAGCTAAATGATCAGAACTGTATGGCCTTGGAGCTCAGCTAGTAGCGCAAGACTTAAAAAGACGCAAGTGACGAAAATCCGCGGGTTCGCACCGGACATACTGATCGTATCACAATTCAAACACCTAAATTTTAACCGATTACCTATCAAAATATTTTGATAACCTACAATAATGTTTGAGCCGGTAACTAATTTGCTTAGTACAAACTCATTAGTCAGCTAGTAAACGTTATTGAAGACGAAAAAGAGAAGACTGAGTACCCGAAACAGTAAAGCAAACAATGTCAAACCATGTTTGGTACCGAATAAACGCTTCGCAGTGAGAAGAGCACACTAGGAAGCGTTTTTTACACATTCGTGCTCTGATAAGCACGAGGAGTCAACTCCATAGATTTAACTGCTTGCTATCCCGACAGAATAGCTGCGGTATTTAGGCGAACGACAGCGAGGCTGAAAACGTTTTCTCAGTGTCTGAACACGTACCCCAGAGAGTGAAGCAGGCTAGAGACCTAAACCGCTTGACCACCATCATACAACTCTTTGAAGGCATTTGTTAAATATCAAAGCTTGGTAAATATTGTCATCTCATCTTAGTACGTTGCCGGTATCGGTTTTTTCGGACTATTTGGGCGGCCATCAAAGGCAGTCATTTTGACGTGGCAAAACAGAAGTCTGTGAAAGGGAATCAGTGTACGATTAATGTTGTTGTTGCGTTTGGTTACCGAAGAAGAATAGAGCACTGGTCAATAAAGAAATTTAGAACAATATAGCAAAGGTACAGAACTATGGCAAGGCAAAAAAAGAAACGACGCGGGTTTCTTCCGGATTTGTCTGTCTCTCCAATTTTTGTCAATTTTGATTTCATTTCGACTAGAAAAGTCTACCCTCCCAGCACAGACCCACACGATTCAAGTAAGTTAGCTGCCCATGTCGCTTTGCGTTACGCATACGCTCGCGACCAGTAGTGATATGCGCCTCGGGCGTTACACTCCGGGCAGCAATCGTCAAAAGAGATCGGAAAGGTCTGTGAAACAAAAAGTAGGGACATGTGGCACAAATTGGGAGAGAGGGTTTGTTTGGTAATGAGACAACACGAGCGGTCCACGAATGACCTAGAGCGAATTCGCCCGTTTTGCAAACTCAATCACAAAATAAATGTGAACGGGCTTGCGGTGAATAAGCCAAGGTAGGACAATTCAACAGTGGTACAGGGATTCTCGAAAGTCATCGATATACCCGAACTAAGATGAATGAGAGCTAGATCGAAATGGGTGGGGTGAGGGACAGATGAAGGGAAGAGTTGGGGAGATAGTAGCGTAGAAAGTGCCTGGTCTTTTGAATGATGATAGGAGTAGGAGGATAGCAGAGGTGGGATATAGACTAGAAGGTTCCACTTGTGCATCTTCAGTAGAGCCACGTCAACAAAACCCAAAGACAGCATAAGACTTCACACGTGTTTGTGTGTGAATTAAACGTCACTGGTTTAATGCATTCCTTTCTCTGGTCCCGTGAATATACTCTCCGATTCATACAGACTATCATGCTTGGCCATGATACGCATCAAAGGACGAAGATTAAGCCACCATTCCTCTCGGGGAAGACGATGTCTGAAAAACAAATCAGAAAATAGAGTGAGTATAATCGAGTGTGACGTCAGCCTATTCCGCAGTGACAAAAGATGACTCAGAAAATACGAAGCAATCCATTCATACAAACATGTTGTACAATACATGCCACAAATTCCAACTTCCACCCCGGCTGTTAGGTAATGCAGCTTCAATGCAGCGTTTTAAAACGATTCTGAAGCACAAGACAACAATAACTACACACATTCGATTCTCTGGTTGTTCAATTCAAAGATTTGGAGTTCACGTTGTTGGGACCTACAGATGGCTATTAACATCACCCATCCTACACTCTTTGTGCTCCTCTATCGCACTTTGATAGATCAGAGCCTACCTTTTGAAAATCGATGACACTTCTGACAACCAAAAAAGAACAAATTTATAAAGTATTTGCTGGTAGTAATCGAATTCATGAGACTGTGGGACTTCAACACTGCCTTCTCTCAACGCCTGAGGTTTCGTGGACAGAAATGAGTACATTATGAGGCCATGCAAAACACATTTCGGTGACCGCATGTTTTCTTCGCGGCTTTCCCAATTCTAATGTCCTTTAAACGCCTGAATTTACGATTTCAACAACGGTTGGAATCATCATTTGTGTGAAAACTGAACTACAGCTTTTGTCAATTAGAAATATGGCAACAGAAATGATGGCTACATATGTAACAGATGGTGGGGTTCTATTTTCTCAATACTCCGAATTTGCTTCCTATTCTTCAGCATTTCGACCAATCGCTTTCCCATGAAGTTTACTAAATTAGCAAGTAAGTTTCTTGTTGGTTTTGTCCAGTAAACGCAGTACCCTAGTACTAATGACCACTCCTGGTGTAGCTAACTTACCTCAGTCTAGAACACAGAAGAAAGTTGTTAATTACATTCAGAATCAGATAGTTTTGCTGCAATTGAAAGAATTCTATTTTGAACTTTTCCGGTGCACAGACTGTAAGTACATAGCAAAGAATAACGTCTAAATGACTTCAACGACAAACCTCGCACAAGACACAGCAATAAGCAACAAAAACATGCTTTATTAGTGTAGAAATTCAAAGTTATCAGGATTCAATAAACGAGACCTCATGCCCACGGTGCATATACACCATCACGTGTCGAATTACAGATAATGGTAAACAGATCACAGTATATCAATTTTAAAGGAAAAAAATCAGTCTATGATTTGCTAGCGGGCGGAAAACTACTAAGTTTTCCTAATAAAAGTAGATGCATTTCTCGCAAGATTGACAACTAGAAGTCCCAGACAGCCAAAACCTGTCTCCCAAGACAGTAGAGCTGTGTGTGTAAAACCGGGATCCTCTGTTGGCCAATGTTCAGCTCATCGGATCACATGCCCTTTGAACGAGGTCACACTTAGGGCACCCAACACACCACAAAGCCCAACCAAACCGGTGATCACTGACAAAACCAAGGTGTATGCGATTCCTTTCGGTTGGCTTAGAATCAGGAATTGTAGCCAACTGCCCCAAATGAACTGCCAGTGGTTCATCAACCCGGTTCGAGCCCCGGATGTTGGCCCTCCGTTCCCTCACTTTATTGGGGAAACACCTCGGCTATATGAAGGTTGTGGTTAAAGCTGTTGTGTTTGGTCTAGACGTACGAATGACACGAGCGACTCTTGCTTAACCCCCAACGACAACGCGAAGAGAGAACACAGGTTGAGACACAGTCAGCGTGTATTCCTCGATAAGTTATCGATACGCAAAACATATAAACTAATCGTGCATTCGAAAACGGCGCAGTGACGCACCAATCAGATTTTGTCCTTAACATGTCGATTGATCGATTGAACAAACATTGGCTCATACGTTCTTTGATCATCCAATCAGGTTCAGCCTGCCTGGAGCGTTGGGACCGTGCGTGTGGCCTGACTCGGAGGCGTACGTGGAGCCTGACTCGGAGGCGTGCGTGATCGGACGGGTTGCTTAGACTCTGTGCTAACAAAAGCATCTTAAGCAGCGGCTGAGAGGCGTGGTTATATAGCGACATTCTGTGACGCGCAAGGGAAGCATGATAACTAACAGCCCAGGACAATCAACTCCCCCACATTTTCTGAAGCGTCGTGCCGCTGAATATTTGTTGCCCAGGAGATAGGGAAAGTAGGATTATCATTGAAAACATGATGAAAGAGCTCTACTTTCTAGGTTCTTTGTAAAAAAACGAATTTCTGGAACCCTTGGTTACCAAAATGAATCAGTGTAGAGATAATATTTGAAAAAAAGACAGCTTAAGAAAAGTCAATATACTATTCTATGCCGCGCCGGGACATATTACTTGACAGTATTCAAAGGAGATCATCCAGCGACATTATAGGATAATATATACAGCAACTCATGGTGTGTTATTTAAGATCAATTTACTTGTGTTTACGACTGAAAGACAAAAACCCAACTCTGCCCTCTCAGTGTGTGCATGCTCATTCACTTGTCCCTGGGGAACAAAATCAATAGGACTTATTGTCAGGCAACTGTCATGGGGCATAAGAGTAGAACGGTTCCCAGTAGGATTAAATAATTAAGATTAGATACGACTACCTACTCCACCTTACTTTCGACTGACAAACCAAAATGATTAATCATAACGGAATAACTCACTTGAAATCGGTATTCTCCCTCAGTTTGAGGACCTCTGTGAAGGTAGAATTCTGTCGAATCACTCCAAGAAGAGTGCAAGATGACGGATCTGGACAATGGACTGTGCCTTTTGATGCAAGTGAATAGAAGACAAAGTAGATATGAATAGGATGAGGCAAAGTAAAGGAGAAACGCGGGACTAGTTGCAAGTTAACAGCTGAATTGCTGAGTTTGAAAAAGAAAAATGATAAACCCTGAGGATTTCCGACGTTTCAGATTACTGAGTTGTTCAGTTGATCTATGTTCCCTAGAATTATCACCGATTGCTGAATACCCTCTCAAATAACACTCACGCCTAAGAAAGGTTTCTCAAAGTACCAACCGATTGGTTGTGCTTCAATAATGCTGACATTTTTTTGAAAAAACCGAATGACTTATTTATCTGGCCCCCACGACTTCTCTTCGAATTGCCTAGGGATCTCCATTCTGTCAGGTTGATGTGATCTAAATTATTCATTTCATAGGTTCTTTAGACAAAGGCTTGACATTGTTCGTTGAATCTTCTCGGATTATTCTTAGGCTTTTGAGTCGCTTTTCGGTGACATTTTTATTGAATGTCTTGGATTACGGTTTGGGACTCCTATTACGAATGTTCTAATCAACTAACGCAGTTCACCTATTGCAGCAGTAAAACATCCACCTCCATATACATTCGGCGATTTTTCAGCGTGCAATTTTATTTTCATTCGTTTTTCTCTCTGCCAAACCTTTTATTCCACCGAATTACATTGTGGGCAAATATGCTCATTAAGTAGTAATCGAGTATCCTTTTTGGCAGCTTTCCCCGCTTCAAAGACTGTCTAAATCAAATTCTCAGTTGATGTCATGCGTAATTTCGATAAAAGTTAGTTAGTTAGTTAGTTAGCCGTAAAAGGGCTCCTATTAGCAGAAATTGCTGTTCGCAATAATATTCTTCTCATTGTAAACTCTGTGAATAACACTCGTCAAATAACCGTTCTAGAACTAAACATATTGAAAACGTTTAGCCCATTGTGTGAATATTGTTATCCAATACATTCAAAGTTGAAAAAGTTGCCGCCCTCCTAAATATAATCGTAAAATAAATGACAGTTTGTACTCTTCCCTATGTTTATAACCTTATTTCGGCTTTGGCTGAATAACTTACACACGTTACCTGAAAACATAATAATATTTCCAACAATACTAATGATGAGAATGTCAGTGATTCCAGGAAACTAAGCCCGAAAAGAAACACCTGCTGCACTTCATTTCTGCGCTGTCCTCATAAGGGAACTTCAAGCGGACGGTTTAAGTCAGGAATTTTTAGTTGATCCCCTAAAGCAATTGATTTATGACAAATGCTTCAGCATAGTTTTGTCAGCTATCTCAAATATTGGCATAATGAGCAATCTTACTAAGCATTACTACTACACAAGATCACAGAAACAAGTCAACACACGAAACCAATATCAGAACAGGACAACTTACCATCTGGCCGTAACCCGAGATTGATTTGATCATGCAGCCAATCGATCGCTTTGGAGCCAAATTTTGTGCCCAAGTTTCGGTCAAACGGAGACGGTTCGTTTCCTTGTTGCATATGACCCAGCACGTTGATTCTGCGCAGGGAGCAGAGTTGGGAAAAAAGACCAGAAATATCAGAGCATATGAAAACCAACATGGTTCTAGGATATACGAGAAACAAAGGGAAAAAAGTGCAATTTTAAGCTAAAATGCAAGCATTATATCTGGATTGATATCCACTCGGAAAAGCCTTTTGGCTCTCAAATCAATTTTCAGCTGCAGATTTTGAAGTATGAAATTTTAATACGTTCAAGTGGTTTTCTTCGAAAAATTCATCATTTAATAGTTTGGTGAACACCAAATATCGCACTTTAAATCTTTCCGGCGTTTATCTCTAACCAATGATCTAAGACTATACGACATGTCGCACCCATGCCAGATGTTCTCGTGCAGTGATATTGAGATAATGATGGTATAGGCATGTGTATTCATCACTTTGATAACAGAGTACCCGAGAAGATTCCGTTACATTATTACGACAGGTGGCAGGTTAATTTAAGCCTCTGACTAGAAACGTTGTACGCTACCGGAGTCGTCTCAGTGGCGTGGATAATAAAAAAAGTCGCCAAGCACATCTCTCCACGGAACAAGTGTTCCTAGAAGATCAGCGGCGAGGCATGAGAACGTGATTTTATTTCGGCAACTGATTTCTGTAATAAAAGTCACAAACATCCGTAAAAAGCATAGTGGCAGATGCGAATCGAACAAGACACCACGGTATGCACTTGGTTGACTAGAAAAACCATTCTACTGGCCTCTTTTATTAAATTCCCAAGATTTTTCATGGACTACTCTGTGAATCTGACTTTTCTTTAAATAGAAGAAAGTTGCCTAAAACAAAACAAAAGCAACATAGCGTCACACTATATTTTTGTTACCATGTCTAAAGGCATTTAGGTATATGTCACCAACAGTGGATAGTCCAATTGTATCTTTTGCACGGTTGAATCACAACAACGGTTCTTACAACGATCACTATCCGAGTCCACTTAAATGGAATAAAATAAAAAATTCAGAACAACCATTATCACCCTTGCCAATCAGAGATGAAAATTATGGTAGCTGCATATTATCAAATTCACAACAAAATGGAATTAAAATCCTGACTACTGTGTCGCGAAAAGTAATCAAATTCGCAATATTTCCAGTCGTATCATAACTGTGATGGTTGGTGATAAGACGATGAGATGCTGTGCACAAGTTGGCAAAGATGGAATGAGTTATATCGTGCAGAGACTAAGTAGAACAGGGTCGTTTGTTACCTGTAGGTATCTTCGCGTTCCAAGCATTCATACTGTTTAAGAAGTGAGGCGTGAGTAGATCGAAACAACTGCGCATAGCTTCCCACTTCAATCAACACCGTATAGGGCTAAATTTCTCCCTTTGGTTTCGCCCTAATTCATAAATCGTTCATTTTGTGAAAGCAATTGGAAAGGAATTATGATATGAGGAGTTAACCCCGTCCATTCGGAGTGGCTAACGAGGCACATAAAGAAAATAATCATTCAAACGATCGACAGCTAATCCAGCAAGTAAATGCCTTACGTAAACTCGAGAAGCAAAAAAATCAGATTGATCAGGACACAGCTTAGCGAATTCAAGTGTCAGTCACGACTGACCGCACAAAACGACCGCTTGCATTCGGACATGTCCGGTCGGTGTGTCACCGTGTGGGTCAAACCGCACTCGCCACATGACGGGTCAAATATGCGACAATGAAGAATGCATAGTCTAACGGATGTGCCTTTGTTTGAAGCTGGAATATACGATGTGTTTACGTGAACCATGAGAATCTGAACTAGAAGTGCTCGTTCAATTCGCATGAGCGTGCGTCCGCAGGGTCAGTACAAGTGCTTAGGTTCATGGTTAGTCGACGGAAAAAAGCATGTTATGCGTGGTGTGCTCATTTTGATATCAACATTGGATACAATTCTATCGCCTTCCTCGAAACAGAGGATGACGTAATCACGGATAGCGTAATCACCAGCCAGAGTTAAATCTGGCTTAGATAACCAGCCACCTCATCGATGAAGTGGATCAGAGCAATTACGAAGAGAAAAGTGAAAAAACAAAATAATTCAGATTTACGAATGTAACTGACTGAATAGATTTCGTAAGTGTCAATCGTTTTGAAAAAATAAACAATTCAATTTAGTTGTTTGCCGAGCTTGGAAATTAAATTGCACACTTTTCAGCGCCATCCGAGGTAATATCTTCAATGGAGTTGATTGGTCGATCAGTTTGGTTTTAGCAGCAGTTGGTCCTAATCTCATTTAGTTCACATTGTTTGGCTCTTTGCAGCGTATATATAAAGTAGTATGGACGGATGTCAGAATGATGAATCAACATTTACAAGCTATCAGTCAACCTCGACAAAGAACTAAATATCAAACCATTCAAACCAAGCTACGAAGACAATCAATATTGCTTTCAACTTGTTCAATACTAAACAATTTCGAATCTAACTGGTGATATCAGACACAGAAAGGATGTCAAACATTCTGGTTTGTTCGGGAGAATGAGTAAATCGCCAGGAAATTCGGTCCAGAATGCGTTGAAAGTTTGGTCGAGTGGCAACCAGAAAAATCATAGCTTCGTTTCACACTTATTTGGAGAGCACGCAAGCGGACCTCACCGGTTAGAATTTGTAATCAACATGTTAGGCAATCGCCTTTCACCCAACGTCTCCTTTGATCTTAACGTTCCAAATTGGAAAGTACTCATAATAGTTCCGAGCTATGGAGGAGAGGAAGCATGAACTGTACAGAGGTGACCTTTGGCGAGCGACATCCAAGTTGCTTGATGAGTTATTACAGGTCGGTAGAAGGGGTAAAGGGAATGGGTTGGGAACGGAAGACAAAGAGTTACCTGAGCAGTACTCCACTTATCACTACCCACCCCGCACGATGCAATGGGCAGCGCGGTCCTGATTATCCTGCGCGACGGCCGATGCAGTATGGAATTATTTTTATTTTGTGTATGCATTGCGGTTTGGTGGACGGGTACTACTGGTGTTGTGAGATTCTACTCACTTGTGAGTAGTCGGTAACTTTCAATGATTAAAAATAGAA